TACTTATTGCTTTTATCGCTAAATTCAGCATTTCAGATGCGTAATTAGGACGAAAAGAATAGATTAAATTTTCTTATTCCAAATGCATAATAAAAATTCTTCACAATGAAATACATATTATTACGCTAATAATGAACTATGATAGATTTGAGAAATGAGTTAAGGAAACACTTTATACATTCAAAATAAACAGTACAGTCAAATTAAACATTTAATCAGAAAAAGGTGATAATTTTCAATTGGAAATATATATAAGAAATTATTCACAAAGGAATCGATACTTTTACGCAAATAATAAATTAAAATAGATCTCAAGGAATAGACCTGAGAAAGCAATTAATACATTTAAAGTGCTTTACTTTAACCTTATTATTTTATTCATTTGTTTACAGTTTCAAAAGTTATAAAAGTTTTAAAAAAATATTTATATATATTTCATTATCATACGCAGCACTTTACTTTAACATTGTTTTCTTTAAATGCAATTTCAAAAGTGATAAAGTACAAGAACCAAGTCTTATTTCATAATTATACGACTAAAAAAGAGAGCAATTTCTTATAACATTACTAAATAAGATATTATACAATAGTTTAAGAAAAAAAAAGGAATGGTAGATTCAAAATAAATAATAAGAAAATCTTCACAGAAAAATCGATATTTTTACACAAATAATAAATTGGGGAACATCTTAGGAAATGGATATACAAAAGCAAATTATACATTTAAAATAATTTATCCTTAGAAGGCAACAGTGAACTATTTTGTTAATATGAAATATATTTCAGATGCCTTTGTATATAGTTTTAAAACCTTAAATAAACATGTATAATAAAATTAGTTACAGTTCCTTGACATAAGAGTTTCTCTGTTTCTTCATTTTGATTATACCAACCTGAACTTTAATATATATAAAAGTAAAATATAATTTATATTTTAGGGCTCTAACAGAACTTTTGCTTTTATTTGTTCTTTAGCATTTATGCTATTTTTAACCTAATTGATTTGTTTTATCCACCGTGATTGCTTGCATCTTAAAAAATATCTATAGTTGATTTATCGAGAAAATTACATTGTCAACAATGTCAACTTACATCATAATTAACAACACTTAAACTCGAAGAAAAGTTGTTCGCAAGTATAACACTAGTTTCCCTTGCACGCATTTCAATTATGAATTTGGAGTTTAATTAAAAAAAAACTATAATTTTAAACGCGCTAATATGATTTTATTAAAATTTAAATCAAATCAGTAAAAAAATATTTCATTTATCTATTTAATTATTATTATTTTTTTTTTTACTAAGAAATTGAAAATAAAAAACACTTCTGAGAAAACTAAAAACAAGTCAATACAATCAATGCGTCAGAATACGTCATCAGGTCAATGCTCTTCACAGTCATGAAATTTTAAAATTAAATTCCAGCTTAGAAGTTCAGATTAGAACTAAATTTGAAAGATTTAATAAAAATTATTACTAAATATTGCAAAGAGAATTTTGTGTTTTAATATTTGAGTTACATGATCTTATGAAAACACAAAAACAATGAAAAAAATTGTTATTAAATGGTGAAAACAATTCTATCCCTTGTTTACAAACGCTACTCAAAAGCAATTTGGCGACAGAGCAGGTTTGACTTAAAAGTTTTCGCCAAGAATGCCAAGCGGTGCCGAAATCGTGAGCATTTCCGTGAGTGCAAACCGGATTCGAATCCCAATGATAGCTGGTTGATGCGGATTCCGCATCCGGAGCTCACCAACCACCAGTGCCGTTCCTGGGGTGGCGAACGCCTGCGTGCAAGAATAATTTTGTGCGCCCCTATATACTATGCTTAAATTTTGATGATAAGGCCAATTTTCATAATCATTTTTAGTTTGAGGTTTTAACTGAATAGTTTCCTTATAGACTAAAGTCACTTTAAGTGTTTGATTATGAAAATGGGCGTAATAAAATAAAACAGCGAAAAAATATAACAAAAAATTTATTTTCGACATCAAATAAAATAGACTATTAACGTACAATATAGGTCATAAATAATACACGTCCATTCGGAAATTAACAAAAAATCTAATGTAACTCAATTCACTCAACTGAGTGAATTGAGTTAAAACTCTCAAACGGCGCTCAACGCAAACAAATCCGTTAACTTGAAAATGTGCAAGATCTGTCTAATACCTAAGTACCTAATTATCAAATAACAAGGTAGTTTTAGAACATAACACGTCTTGCTTTTGCAGATGCAAGCTCATTGATCATTTCATTGTGATCGATGGCTTCACATATTTTATTTTCGATTGAATTAACAGCTAAATCTGAAAGCCTTTCCTGACACATCGAAGTTCTCAAATAAGATTTTACAAGTTTTAGCTTTGAAAAACTCCTTTCGCCAGACGCAACAGAAATCGGTAGCGTCAAAAATATCCTTAATGCCGCCTCCGCCCGTAAGCCGAGTGCCGACACGCCGACAACAGATTTTTTGCATGTAAATTCCAGTGTAGAAGCAAAGTGTAGAAGTTACTTCTTATATTAGTTTACTGTTTCTTCCTGTAATCAAAGTTTACAGCTTTGCTGTAATTTGATTTTTAATAATTTGCTATAATTTGATTTCTTTCGAATAGTTGAATTTGGCGCCCCTTAAATTGGGCGCCTGCGTGCGGGGCATTCGCTGCATACCTGCCAGGAACGGCACCGCCAACCACAGTGCTGACGTAAAATACCCTCATTGGTAGACGAATCATGGGTTGGAGTCCCCTTGCCGTCAGGCTAACCGTGGGAGGTTTTCGTGATTTTTCCTCTCCATGTAATGCAAATGCGGATTAGTTCCATAAAAAAAGTTCTCCACGAAATTTCTCCGGCAAATTTCTTCCAATACTTTATCCAGGAGTAACTTGTCTTTTGGATTGGGTTCAAAATTAGAAGACTTTTAAGTTGAACATTAGTTGTCAGAGACCCAAACAATGGGTCAGCTGTTCAACGAGCTTTATAAAATACCTCCTAGAAGAGAGATGGCCTAAGCAAGAGATACCATAGACAAGACATTTGAGCCTTTACCCCGTATTGACTCCGACCTAACTACCAGTTCTGAAACCATATATTAAAAAAGACAACTAAAGACGGAACTTCGTATAGTTTTAAGCAATTAATCTCTTCCAAATGAACCTATTTTTTCCAAACGTTCAGCAGATGGTTATAAAATTCTAAATTTCCTGATTTGCAAAGTCATTCAATGCTGCGTAGTTTAAACGTTACCTCAGATCAAAATTTGTATTTATTAGTTAATATTTATGTCAGCAAATTTTTTTATATATATTTAAAATAATGTATATGTTTTTAATTTTATTAATAGTTTTATTCAAGGGATAAAAAAAATTTAAAATGCTATTCGTTATCTTCATATCTAAATATTGCACATTATTTTGACAGTTCATCTCTAAATAATTATTTATTTTTTGCTATGATCTATCATCTCGAGAAATATTATCAAAATCTATAATCATTTTATGAATTGTATTCTTCTTTTTTAAATTTTATATTTCTTTCAATAAAACTTTTGATATTCGGTGGCTTTTTTTTATGTTCAATGAGGTCAATTTTTTTACTTGATGTAACTATAATTAAATTATATCAAATAAATGCTTCTTAATAAAATGAAAATTAAATAACACTTTTGATGTTCGGTTGCTTTTTTTTATGTTCAATGAAGCCAACCTTTTTACTAGATGTAACTATATAATTAAATTATATCAAATGAATGCTTATTAATAAAATGAAAATTAAATAACACTTTTGATGTTCGGCTGCCTTTTTATTAATGTTCAATGAGGTCAATTTTTTTACCAGACGCAACTATAATTGATTTATATCAAATAAATGCTTATTAATAAAAGGAAAATTTAATTTTCCTGAGTTAAAATGTTCTATAGAAGATTTTATGTATATTTCTCACATTATTATTAGCAGTCGTTGCAAAAAATAAATAAATAAATAAATGGAAAAAAATAATAAATACCGCAGAAAACGCACGCTTATTCAGAGAAAGTATACTTTTCTGTCCGATTCTGTATCTTAATTACTGTGATTGTTCTTATCGTCCATTAAAGCATCTATAGCCAAGAATTCAATTTCTGCCACACATATGTTGGACGAACCCATTCATTCATCCACAGATCGTAATTTTAACCTGAACCAGAGAACGATCTAACTCCAATTCAGTACCCCCAGAGGCATAATTTGTTATGGGAACACGGAGGACTTTGTGATGTGACAGATTTAACCTGCACCAGTCACCATTTACTACACGGGAAGACTTCAGACGGCTGGATTCGAACTCCCGTTCTCACAAACGTGAGTTCAGCAACCTGCCAACCAGGCTAACCCAGCCTTAGCTTAACTGCTAGTAACCACTAATTAATTATCGTATTTGGAGTTAATCTTTCGAACCATTAATTCTGGCATTTAATTTGTGAAAATCCCATCATCAGAAAAAAAGTTATTGAGGGTAGAATCTTTCTTTTTCTCTGTATGTAAATGCACCATACCAAGCATCAATGTTTTTACCAAGCAATGTATATAGTAATAACAATAACATACCAACAGCTGTGGAACGCTTGTATGCCAAAATCCATTTCATGCTTGATTTCATTAATAGCATCCTTAAATTTTAAGTGACAGTATTCAAGATCACTTTTGGTTTTCGGCCAACACTCTATATTGCTCAAGTAGGCTGAAACAAATTATTATAAAGATATAAAAGTAATTCTATAAAATATTTCTTTTGGTCATATTATTAAAAAAAAATTTTTTTTTCTTCCATTCATCTGCTATTACCACAGTGGAAAATTTTTTTTTTTGTGACTGAAGATTAAAACAAATGCGTATACTTCTTTTTAAATACACTCTATAACAAAAAAATCGACGCACCAAGAAGCAATCATCCGATTGCTTTAAAATTTTGTACGCATGAATGTTTTGAACAGATATGGCTGGAATGATGCCGACTGGGGACGTATAGTCTTTAGCGACGAATCCCGCTTCCAACTGTGTCCTGACGATCATCGAAGACGTGTTTGGAGACTCACAGGGCAGAGGGGGGGGGGTCCTGCCTTCACTATTGCACGCCACACCGGCCCTCAACAAGGCATTATGGTCTGGAGTGCCATTTCCTTTGACTGCCGGACCCCTCTGGTCGTCATTAGAGGTACACTTACTGCACAGCGGTACTTCGACAGGACAATGCCAAACCACATACGGCACGTGCTGCTATGAACTGTCTGCAAGCTTGTCAAACTCTTCCTTGGCTTGCCAGATCACCAGATCTCTCTCCCATCGAGCATGTCTGGGATATGATGGGAAGGCGATTGCATCCGGCACGGAATGTTGATGACCTCGTTCGACAATTGGATCGAATTTGGCAGGAAATGCCGCAAGAGACCATCCGGGAGCTTTATCGGTCTATGCCACGCCGTGTGGCAGCTTGTATCCATTCTAGAGGCGGGTCAACACCTTATTGAACTTGTTACTGTAACTCTGCAATAAATTATTCAATTGTTCTGAAATTTTAATCATTTACTATTCTATACATTGTCTTCCTATCCACCAATTTTCGTTTCAATCGGACAACTCCTTTTTTGTGTGTCGATTTTTTTGTTATAGAGTGTATATGCATTTTATCAAAAATTAATATAAATTACATTATATTATAAAAAATGGGAAATTACAGGGAAAAAAAGAAGTTAGAAATGGTAATTATGCTAGAAAACAGAGTCGCACAAAACACTTTATGAATAGTTGACAGTGTGAAGCTAAGCACAGATGGCGCTAGGGGTTAAGATTCGTCGTAAGACTTCCGGGTTACTACTTCCGATTGATTTTCACTCCTGAGCTTGGAAGAGCATGAAATTCATTACCATTATATTTGTAGTGTTCACGGCAATACACGCTCTACTAACTTAACTTTCAACGAAACAAATAAAAGGAATCAGAAGATCTCGCAAGCATGCTATCATGATACCCCAAACAATAACAATTGGCGATATTTTACCCAAAGCTATATAAGGGATAACACTCAAAACATTTCAAACCTTACACGTAATTTATGTTGTGATATAAATTTTCTTAAATTTGTTTTGGGCTTATGACCTGTTGGAATTTATAAATTACATAAGACTTTTGAGAATAGTAAAATTTCACATAAATTTGATTTAAAAAAAATAGCACAATAATGAAACTTCTAAGAATATCAAGCCTGTTCACACTTCGCATAACACAAGCGGAGAGATACACCGGAAGTTTTCGAAACTTCTTCCAGTTTTAGGAAGTTTGTTATTGTTTACATTCAGTCAACCATCCTAGGTACATCATAATATCACGTGAACTGACTTCAGAAAAAAAATTGATTTTATTCTATCTATGCTGTTCTATCTATATTCTAGGTAAATCTTCGAGTAGAAAGTAGGCGTTACTTTTTATAATATACACAATTTCAGAATTTCAACAATCCATAAACAGCCAATCACACATATATTTTTGAATTTGGTATTTAAAAATTGCACAGTAAAAATCTGCGAAAGAAGCCAATTTAACAACATCTGACAAATCGTTATCGAGTCTAAATACAGCAAATTTGAAAAATGTATTGCCTTAATTTTGTCCCAAAAAATTAACGCAAATTCTAAATTACTGCGTGCTATAATTTTTTAGATTCCGGTGGGAGAAGATCCGATTCGTGATCGCAACACCGGAACACCGGTGTCACGTTTAAGTTATCAAAATTATATTTTAAAATTCACTGAATTTAAAATTTACTCAAATCAAAATTAAAATTTACTCAATGCTAAAATTAAGCACTATGTTCAGTGCAGTTTTGAGCTCCTTTTAGTTTCCAAGCTAACAATCTTTTAATCTGTTTGAAAATCAAGACAGAAATCAAGGTACTTCCAACTCCCTTGGTTATCCACACACTACAGTGAAAGTATGCTTATTGTTACTACAAGTAAAGAGTTCTGTTATGTGCCATCTGTAGTCCATTTCATTCGCCATTATGTTACAGGCCTCCAAAGATACTGTTTAGTAGCGTAAGCTTTCGCTTACTCGCGAAAATGTATTAAAAGAAATATTTAGAATTTTTTCCACCGTCCCCACTCCTTGGAGAGATGAGTTTGTTCAAAAAGAGAGAGGTCACTTATGAGTATTAAAATACTGTCTACCTTTATTGAATTCTGTGCCGTCTGTGCATAGATCTCCAAATACTTTCAGTGTTCCTCCCGCAGTTATATTGAAGAGCGAAGCCGCTTCATGCAACAAGCATTTTCCCACGTAATCTCTCACGCATTTCGTCTCTTCCAGTCTCTTCCTGCAACAGAATGTTGAATTTAACATGCAATGTGGAGTAGCCGACCCAATACAACGGCACAAGAACACACATTTTGGGATGAATTTAAGCGAGAAATGAACTCATAGACAATTCATCTAAAGTGTTCCCCATTAAAAAAAAAGTATTGATTTTGTGCCCTACCTATCTGAAAATCAAACAGAACGAAATATGTATATGGTAGAATCTATGTAGGCTATTCATCGCGAAAGATAGATACTAGAAAACGAAGGGTCAATATAAAATATCCAATAACTGACTTGCTTTAAACGCAGTAAAAAATCAATGGATTTGATAATTTAAAAAAATTAAAATTAATATAGAGGCAGAAAATTGAAACAAATCGTGCACTGACTGCAAAATATTTGCAATGCAAAAGAAAAAGAAATAAACGCATTTTTAATTTTTTTTTTTAATTTGAAAATTTGTGTTGGATCAAACTCTGACCCTTGACCTAGACCACCATGACCTTTAAGCAACTCACACGCAGTTCAATCAAACTACTGGTTTTCGCTGGATTTACACGAAAAATGACTGTTTCCTCATTCAAATGTAACGTTACGAATATTTCTTGTTACGTGACCAACACGATAGTGTGACTTCGAAGGCGAAGTTTGATTCAATCTCTGATCAATCACAAAAGCAAATATTCTCCATTTAATAGCGGTGATGAAGACAAATCAAAGGTGTAGGAAAATAAGAACTTGGTTATATGTTACAAACACTCCTCAACAATTTTATGTAAATAATCCGCTGATTGAACAATAGCATGCTAGTTTTTGATTAAGATATGCAAAGATTTCGAATTACTTAATAGCATTTATAAAATAATTCCCAGATATAAATCCAAAATTGCATACTTGCATTTCAAGAAGTTGATCTCATATACCCACACATAAGACCTATAACGTCAAGGCCAGTTAATCTTTATCAACAAAACTGCGTAATAAAGTTGAGCTTATTTTCTCTACATAAGTTAAAATGTTAATTAAAGATAAGTTAATTAAATACAGAGCAATATCGCACATCGAATTTTTTGAAATATGTTGTTACATATGGTTTTATTGGAAATATTAATCCATATACAATGTTCAGCTTTAAGTGGACATAAACAGGGAGTAAAAAGGAACAAAATTACATTAGCAAACAAAGAAAACACATGACAAACGCATATTAACACGAAAAGAACACATAGATAAAATTAAAGAGAACATATATATATATAACGGAATGTTGATGACCTCGTTNAAAATTAAAGTAAGAAAAAAATATATACAGTGAAGAATGAGGAGTAGTCTTTACAGAGAGTTCATGTGATCTCTGGCATCCCAGTAAAGTTTACAGAGATCATCCCGCTCTTGAGATTGTTTGTCCAGTAAAGGCCATACAAGCAAGTGGTCTGAGTTCATGGTTCCCGAATTGCAGATTTGGCACTCACTAGATGGAAGGATACCTATTCTGTTGAGGTGCTCTGCCAAGCAGCCATGGCCCGTTGAGAGTCTGAAGTTTGCCACAGCCTTCTTACGAGGACTGTGAAAAAATTTCTTCCAACTGTTTGGATGTTATTTTTTTGAAATATAATTCCTTCTTGTCTACTTCTCTTATATAACTTTTATTTATTATTTCTTTATTATTTTATTGTACCCGTGATATATTTTTGTTTTGTGTACCTGGCAAGTTCGATGCATAATTAGTTTGTTCATGTTCTACGTGGCTTCATGCCTGACTTTAAGTCTCTGTGTAAAGATATGGTGAAAAAATTGAAACTTTTGAGAAAGAATCTTTGCGAAGCAATTTAGAATGTGTTACTTAAGAGAATAGATACTTGACAGGCTTGGCTTACTCGAAATAAAATGGAAAGAACAGTAGCTAAGGTAAACATATGCTACGTTTCAGCAACCAATCGAGATACCAACACTACGCAGGGACCAATCAAGACAAATTCAGGGCCAAGGCCCACTAAATTTTCTGGGCCCCTTACAAAATATTTTGAAATTAAATTACTGAAGAGTAGTCCTAATAATGAAAAAGAATCTATTGAACTACATGATTCAAGAGAAACATTCTAAGAAATTTTGAAAGCAGACAATTGAGGATTATTTTTCTAAGATTAAGTTTGCGTATCTATAAATTAAAGCAAAATATGAAACAACAAAACAATATTATGTCAAAATAAAAATAGTTTTGTGACCACAAACAATTGAAATCAGTGATTTTTGCTACCACTGATTAGCTGAATTATTTTTTATTGTAAGTTAGAATTATTTTTTATTGAAGTCTGGAATTATTTTTTATTGTAAGCTGGAATTATTTTCTTATTTAGTACTTAAACCAACACATAGCTAGCCCACCTTTTATCAGACTTTTTACTAATTTTTGAGGCCCCTCAAAAATTGTGGGCTCTAGGCACATGCCTATTGGGCCTAGGCTATAATCAGGCCCTGGCACTACGTCACTTGCAGGTATCCCGTTTTGATTCGATCTTTATCAATAATAGCTTTTAATTCATATCTTTATTGCTTGTAATTTATTACTTATAAACTGATGTGTTGAATAAATTATCGTTTTTTACTGAGTAATTAAGAAATATATTATTTCATTACAGGTTGTTGAATGAGGTATAAAAATGAGGTAAAAAAATGTACATTATTTCAACTAAAGGAAATCAGGTATTTATTGAGGTATATGAAGTCATTTTATTTATACCTTAGATTATTTTGAGGTTGTTTAAAGTATACTTCATATTAACTATCTCACTTCCCAGAGTTCTGCGCGAGCCGGCGAATGGCGTGTGTGTTGACAATCGAAAGTCTATTTGAAATTTGGTAGGTGTGTTTGATATTTATTAATTTAGTTTTATCACCGTTAATCAAATATGCTTCCATTTTCAAACTTAAATTTTGTTATTTTTGTTTTTAAGATGCGCCCGGATCTAAAATAATTAGAAACAGAGGTTATTCTTAAAGGCTATTATTGTAGGCTTAGCAATAAGAGAAAATAAAATTTCTCGTCGCTGTTTAGGGTAACGTTACTGGTGAATCGTTATAGCAGATTGCGCACAGTATATTTTATTGTTTGTTATTTACTCAAATATAACTATTTACTTATTTTGCTTAAACGTTAATGTTTTAACGTAGCAGTATGCAAGCTGATTAATTGAGTAAAATGTTCATAATTTCTCTTATAAATAAATCATTGAAAATTGAAAAATTTTTAAAATAGCAATTTTACTTTGAAATTCTACTATAGCTGTATGCTCACCTTTTGCTTGTTTATCTGTTGCAAAGTTCATATTGCTGTTTATGAGTGAAAATATGTATAATAAAGCTGGATTTTAAGTCTGATTAACATGCAATTTCTTTTTGTAATATATATATGGGTCATTCTCACAAGAACAGTCATTTTCATATCCCCAGTATATTTTATGCTTGTTTTACA